CAAATGACTTGTGCCCCATTAGCACGACAACACTAACAGAAGTAACCCCGCCTTAATGCAACCGAGCAAATTCCTACTCCATGCGCACTATATCCTTCACGAATAACACCTCAATCATTCCATGATTCCTATATACCCATAAAGTATAATACACCATGCAACCAGAAATTTCCTTGCTTAAGTCATCCTCAAAACCAGCCTCTACAAGTCATAATCGATCCACAAGTATGCCTCAGACCGAAACCAATACAACACGTAACCATGAAATCAAATCGTCGATAGCAGACTCCCCCACTTGGATCAAAGCCATAGATCAAAATACTTGATAACTCACAATACCCATACTCTATTATTGCCATAATACCGCAGTAAGATTCAACTAAATCCTTCATAAGCTCATATAACACAAACCATATAAAAACCTCAAATCATCTGCTAAGCTCGCGTTCATCCTCATGACAGTCAAGCCAACCTCCTCAAGCGATCCGAACTCAAGTTGCTACACATATAACCCACCAGTAAGAGAAAACTCTCCACAGAAACAACATACGGATCACACAACCTCAGGACACCCCACAGGTGATAACCCGCCTGCTTAGCCTCAAACTGACATCTCTCTACGCCCTTTCACAACCACAACTCCTACGCAATCACTTGTTTTTCCTGAGTCTGAACTCATCAATAAGTCATGAGAATCTAATTCGTTCCACAATTAAACAACATGAAAGATTTCAACACACTCATAACTCATGACTATACATCAAATCACGATAGAAATCAAGCACCCAATAGTCCTTTTACATCTCAAGAAAACTCTTCTCGTCACACTCAAACCATCTTAACACAACCCGCGGCCATATCTTACTCAACACATAGCCATCCAACCACTTATCGAGCCACAAATTCCACTAATAGGGACATTTCCGGACTTATAAGTCCAAAAGCACATGCTCACACAACTGAAATCCCTGTGCTCAAGCTACTGTCAAAACTCGGCCTCAAGTCCTCCAGACCGGCCCATCATCAGCACACCGAAATCACATCTCGCACCTCATCCATGGAATCACAAGCCAGCGATGCACAGCTGATACCGAGCACTCACATGCGCACACGAATGCGTGGAAGGAATTCAAAGAGTTATATTTCAAGCCGAATCAATTTTGCACGATAAGGTAATAAATATGGGAAATTATCCTAAATACCCTGTAGCCTCTCGAAGATAGATATGGACGTCATCATACCGATCCGCAAGACTCTACAAGACACTTGCTCATGACTCGTAGAACCTATGAACCTAGAGCTCTAATACCAACTTATCACGACCCAAACACCGAACCGTCGTGATGGCACCTAAACCGACCCGCTAGGTAAGCCAATTAACAATAAAGCACGATATAATAATACTAATGTGAGTCAAAGATGAGATAACTGAATTTTATACAACTCCCTCAAGGACTGGTAGTACAAGTCATGAGCTTCTAAGATTTAGAATTTACAAAGCTAGTATGAAATAAATGCATCATCTCTCTGAATGTACATAAACAGATTTTTATAAGTCTAGGGCTACCATTAACAAGAGGCAGTTGTAACTGGAACGCAGGTACATCTTCAATGCTAGCTCCCTTCATACATAGCAACATCAACATCCAAACTCTACACGCAAGGTACAGAAGTGTAGTATGAGTACAACCGACCTCATGTACTTAATAAGTAATAAACCTAACCTTAGGTTGAAAGTACTGACGAGCTGGGACAAGGGTCAGAATCTAACTCCAATAACCAGCAACAGTTCATAACAATATAATAAAAGGGTACATGAAAATAACTGAGAGGTAAGATGCTCAACTCGTTCACAATTACAGAAAATAGACATGTTTTTCAAGTATGACAATAAATCCCAGATCTTTCATCGAAAGTCCCAAAAGCATACGAGTAAGTTTGAAAACTGTGATTTGTCCAAAAACCTTTCAACAATAAATAAGATGTTTTCATTTTCAGATAGCATGAGGAAAAAACATCTATATGCCTATATATCAAGATACAGGTAAGATCATGAATGTCACCAAAATCAGGTAGTAGAAGGAAATGCATCTCTATGTATGTATCTCAAGTACGCATGTCAAATGCAATGTATCTCAGTGATGAACTCATGTGCTCTGACTTTCAGAGTACTCAATCTCAAGGTCCCACTCTCTCACTCATCACGCTCAATACTCAGCACTGTACAGGGTAGATCCAGCCCAACCAAACATAAATACAACATCACGCTCAGTACTGTATATGGCCAATCCAACACAGGGAAGATCCATCCCAAATATATATATATATATATATATATATATNTGGAGAGGCTCCTTCAGCCCAAGCACTATAATAAGCCAGATCCAGGCATAAATAAATAAAACATGTTACGGCGTGTAGCCCGATCCCATAAATATCACTCACAATCAGGCCCTCGGCCTCACTCAGTCATCAATCTCTCCAGTCCCTCGGGATCACAATGCCCATACTAAGCAGCCCTAATCAATGATACGAGATGTGACAATACACAATAACAGAGACTGAAATATGATGTGTAATGATGAATGCGACTAAGTACATAACTGTAATTAAGCAAATAACTCAACAGCTCAGAACGACCAATGTGGGTCCAAATAGTATCAGCATATAGCATAAACATGATTTATAGCATGAATTACAGCTTAAGTGCTCTAACACATAGAGTACGGTAAAAATGTTCAGATAAAATAGTTACACAGTTCCATGGAATCGACTAAATCACAATTTACACGGTGCACGCTCACACACTCGTCACCTAGCATGCGCTTCACCTCAACATCAATCACATAACACTTAATTCGGGGTTTCATACCCTCAGCACCAAGTTTAGAAGTGCTGCTTACCTTGAACAAGCCAAATGTAACACCGAGCAAGCCAGACGATGCTCCAAAAATGCCATCTCGCGCGTACCGCCCTCTGAACGGCTTGAAACTAGCCAAAAGTAACTGAAATACATCAAATAATGCCAAAGGAATCAAACCCAATCGATAAAGGTTGAATCTTTACTCAAAAGCCCAAAATCAACCAAAAGATCCAATCCGGGCCCGCACCTCAAAACTCGACAAAACTTATAAATCTGACAACCCATTCAATTACGAGTCCAACCATACTAGTTTCACTCAAATCCGACTCCAAATCGATGTTCAAAACTCAAAAATTCACTTTATGAAATTTTAAACAACCCCCCAAATCTCACTTTTGAAATCATCAACCAATTGCCAAACACGAAGATAAATTCATGAAATATAATTAAAAAATGAGTAGAGAACACTTACCCCAATCCATGTGGTGAAAATCACTTCAAGAATCGTCCAAATCCGAGCTCCCAACTCAAAATATAACCAAATGAACAAACTCTTGATTTATATGCTTCCGCCCAGCTGTTCTACCTCGTTTCTCATGCCAAACGATCCAAAACTCACTTTTGATGCCTCCAATTGATTCCTTCTAAAATGCCAGTCAAGTTAGGCTTTTGAATCACTCCATTTGACCTTATAATGAATGAGATATGTTGGTTTCAATATTTGCAAATAGTGCAGATTTTTAAATACGAATTCAGTGGCAATGTCATAATTAATCTGAAAAATCTAGCAACCCAATTCTTAGTAAAATGACCATAAATTCCTAATACGATGTCGAAACTTAATGATTCAAGTTTCTATAATTCCAAAATTATGATACGGATCTAATACTTCAATCAAAACAAAAATTGGAGCTCATTTGCTTAATATGATACCATTTATGCTTGAAGAAACGACGTCGAAACATTTTTTAAAAAAAAAAGGACAAGCGCAACACAACCCAAACATATTTGAAACTCACCCGAGCCCCTAGGGACCCCGTCCGAATATACCAACAAGTCCCATAATATAACATGGACTTACTCGAGACCTCAAATCACGCATAACAACATCAAAACAACGGATCACACCTCAATTCGAACTTAATTGAACTTTGCACTTTCAACTTCCAAAATTCGCACCAAAACATATCAAATCAACCCGGAATGAATCCAAATTATGCATACAAGTCCCAAATGACATAAAGAAGCTATTCAAATTCTCGGAACTATAATTCGAATCCGATATCATCAAAGTCAACTCTCCGTCAAACTTATGAACTTTCCAAACCTTTAAATTTTCAACTTTCGCCAATTTACGCTGAAACCTTCTAGAAACATCCAAATACAAATCCGAGCGTACGCCCGAGTCCTAAATAACCATCCGGGCCTAACTAAACCATCAAAACTCCAATCCGGGGTCAAATACTAAAAAAGTCAAACTTGGTCAACTCTTCTAACTTAAAGCTTCAATCATAAAATTCATTCTTCCAAATCGATTCCGAATAACCTGAAAACCAAAACCGACGATTCACACAAGTCATAATATATCATACGGAGCTACTCATACCCACAAACTACCGAGAGAAGTGCAAATGCTCAAAATAACCGGTCTGGTTATTATAAGAATTGTACTGGTTTGTCTATGTTTTTTATCAGTAAAAGATGATACTGATATAGTATATCAGGATTCTAGACGCAGAGGGTAAGAAAAAAGTTGTCTTAGAATCAGTATTGAATAATTGATGTACTTTACTATTTTAAAAAAGCAATACAATTACATTCGGTTAAAGCAGCAAAAAAGATATTCAAATATCATATGATACCAATATGGTATACAAGTATACCAACAGAGTATATAATTGTTTTGCTACATACCGACACCTGCCTATGAGTATACTACTATATAAAATAATATATTAATATTATGTGTTGTAACTAATATTTTTTCCTTTGGTTTTACAGGACAAATTCTACCCCTTGCATATGCAATTGTTGATTCGGAAAACGATACATCGTAGGAGTGGCTCTTTGTGCAGTTCAGTTCTACCTATGGGCAAAGATAGGGAATGTGCATTGTTTCAAACATGCATGATGGTATATGGAGAGCAACTTCAATTGTTTATCCAGAAGTCCCTCATTGTGTATGTATGTTCCATCTGTGGAACAACATAAAAACGAACTTCACGAAGAGCCAAAAAAAATCAAAGAAGTATACTTTGCGTTAGCAAGAGCATACACTATTGAAGAATTCAACAGGCATATGGCAAAGTTAGAAACTATTGATAGTAGAGTAAAAACATACCTGATGGATATTGGATATGATAAATTTTCCCAGGCATATTCCAAGACAAATAGAACCACGACCATGACATTGAATATTGCAGAATCAGTAAATGCATCAAACAAGCACGCAAGAGACCTCCCAGTTGTGAATTTGCTTGACTTTATGACGACATTGATTCAGAAATGGAATTACACCAATCAGAAGGATGTCGTGGAATCATTTATGAAAATAGGTGTAAAGTATGAAAACATATTGGCAGATAATACAATCTTATCACAGACGATGACGGTATGCATTTTCAGAATCATAAAAATACTGCATGTACTGTAATTTTACTTCTACACTTTAGAGATTTCACTAAACAACTGCATATTGTTATTAAAAAAATACTATTACTTCATACAACTAATGACTTTTCTTAATTAAAATTATATTAGGTATTGCTATCAACTCAATTCTTACATTTAGTAATTGATGGCCAAACAAGAAATGTGGTGCGCCTACATGAAAAAAACTGCACTTGTGGAAGGTTTCAGCTAGACGATATTCCATGTCCACATGCAATGGCAGTTATACAAAAATTTCATATGGATTCAAACAAGTATTGCTCGGATTACTACAGCATAGACTACTTGCTGAAAACATATGAGATACCAGTAAACCCTCTGTCGGATGAAACAACGTAGCAAATTTCAGAACATGTCTCTTCGCAGGTGGTACTTCCACTAAAAGGAAAAATCAAACTAGGAAGACCTAAAAAGAATAGAGGCATAGGAGGTTGGGAAGGAAATACAGTTACATGTGCACTATGCGGGAAAAAAGGACACAACCGGAGAACGTGCCGAAATATTCCAAAGAGAGATTGATATAATGCTTCAATATTTTTATAGAAATCATATATCATAGAATCATATCATTTGAATTGCAAAGAATAAAATGCATGTCTTGCACTAGACATATATTTGGTATGGTGATTCTTTGCCAAATTACTTTTTGGCAAAAAGTTTATATGGCTACTTGTATTTTCAATAAAAAATTATTTATTTGCTATTTTAGTATATAAAAGTGGGATGCATTTACATCTAGTTGTTGCACGAAAAAAAGCGCTAAAATATAATGTGATATCCAAGTGGTATATCTGTATACCTTATTGGTATATTTGTATACCTTATTAGTATCAAAATATGTGCAGAAATAGAAGTGTGCCCCAAAGAAAACATTTGTACATACATCGTTAACAAAATGGGCACGCTTTGTAGGTCATGTCAATATTGAAGTATAACAAATTGGAAGCCATTTATATGCAGTTACTAGTGGGGGGAAAAGGTACTCAAATACAATGTGATACCCAAATGGTATATTTATACCTTATTGGTATATAGTTGTATTGCACTAATATGGTTAAACCAAAATATGTGTAGAAATACAAGTGGTGCATCAAAAAAATATAACATTTGTACATACTTCCTTAATAAAATGGGCACACTTTGCAACTCATGTCAATATTGAAGTATAACAAAAAGATATTCAAATACAATGTGATACCCGAATAGTATATTTGTATACCTTATTGGTATATAGTTGTATTGCACTAATATGGTTAAACCAAAATATGTGCAAAAATACAAGTGGTCCACCAAAAAAATGCAACATCTGTACATACTTCCTCAACAAAATGGGCACACTTTGCAACTCATGTCAATATTGAAGTATAACAAAAAGGTACTCAAATACAATATGATACCCAAATGGTATATTGTATACATTATTGGTATATAGTTGTATTGCACTAATATGGCTAAACCAAAATATGTGCAGAAATACAAGTGGTGCACCAAAAAATGCAATATTTGTACATACTTCCTCAACAAAATTGACACACTTTGCAACTCATGTCAGTATTTACATCTAGTTGCTGCAGGAAAAAAGGTACTCAAATAGAACGTGATACCCAAATGGTATATCTGTATACCTGATTGGTATATAGTTCTACTGCACTAATATATCTGAACCGAAATCTTTGCAGAATACAACTGGTGCAGCAATGTAAAATTTGCATAGAATTTCTTAGATTCAACTACAACTAAAAGCTACTCTCAATACAAATTCAAAACCAATTCGCTTTCTAAAAATATTTCTTCTCATTCAAATCAATAGTCGCCTTGTTCTTCAACCAAATAGAAACATAGTTTCTCTTTTTGAACGTCGTAACTCCTTTAAAAATATACCTCCAAAAATAACTTTTGTTGTTGTATTACAGCGAACTAACGGTGCTCCTCCTACTACAAATGGCAGTAGGAGTAGGAACTAACAGTGTTGTTGTAACAACCCTATTCTGCACTAATAGCTTGACTTCAAGTGCTGAGAAAATTTAGTCTCCGAAAAGCACTGCTAATAAACCAACAACTTTATTGAAGAAGCCTAAGAAAAGTCTAATAAAATAAGATAGATTCCAACATTAAAACAGTTATAGCGACATATTGTACTATTACAATTGTATTCCTAGAACACACTTTTAAAAGCTAGCGTTTTTACAATCTAAAAATACAAAATACCACACTTTACCAAAAACTATAAAAATTCTGCAAAGTTTTCATGCTACGATTAACTAAAAGCAAAACGAGACATATACTACTTCTTGCGCTTCTTTCCACGAGTCTTTTTTGTTACTACTGGAGCCACAGATTCACTTGATTCACCATGCAACGGCTTATTCCTCCCATAGTGCCACAGCAGTATACCAAACCTAGCTCGAAGACCATCCACATCAAAATTGGCAATAGGGATTGGAAGACCTTCAATAATATACTCAGCAAAGCATGCAACATATACTCCAAAAATTATTTCTGTTGGTAAAGCTCTCGCTTCTCTCTACTTTCTCTCTCTAGAGCACGATAGTGAATTTACCGTGCTCAGCCATCGAAAATGGCCAGAGGAAGGCCGGCGAAGAAGCAAAATAATAAGACGGCAGTGGCCATTGAGGCTATAGCCAAAAGGATTGGTGTAATAGATGCATGCAAGGAGGGCGAAGGAAACGAAGAGGAATCAGATTGGCCGACCTTGCCAAATCGGAGGAGTGGACCTAATACACCACTCTCCGGTGCAATTATCACTGGAATTATACAAATGAGCAGTAATCGGAACAAAGGAACTCCTCAATCAGTGGTTTTAGCACATGCATGTGGTGAACTTCCACAGAAGGACCATAAGGCACAAGGAAATGACTAGGTGACGGAAATACAAAAGGTACCGGAGGAACCACAAGCGAAGGGACCTGAGAATAAGACATGGGCAAATCTAGTGGGTAATAACAGTTTCGGATTGAGAGGCATAAATCTCAGCTTTGTGAATCCAATAATGCAAAATGGGGAAGCTATAGTGGAATTATTGAAAAATTAGGTGGAGAAGGAAACAAAGAAATGGAGGAATGCTATAATACTATATGTAGTAGGAACCATACCTACGATCGGAGCTCTGGAAAGGTTTGTTGCTAGCCAATGAAATTTTGTGTCAAAACCTATGATATTCTACCATAATAAAGGATATTTTGTTATAAAATTCACTAATATGGATGATAGAGATGCGATTCTGTATTCTGGACCTCATACTATTGTCAATAAACCTATAATCACAAAAGGCTGGACACCTGACTTTAATTTCAAGGATGAAATTCTGAAAACTATTCCACGGTGGGTCACTTTGCCAAATCACCCATTGAATTGCTGGAGTGCTGACTCTCTGAGTAGGATTGGGAGTGGGCTAGGGGTACCTTTGTACGCAGATGAGTTTACATCTAAAATGGAAAGGGTATCATATGCTCGAATACTTGTATAAATGAATGTAACAGTGCCACTTCCTGTAGTTATCAAGGTGCAGGACCCAAATGGAAGGAAATTTAGTCAAATGGTGGATTATATGTGGAAACCAGAATACTGTGAAACATGTTTGATGATTGGCCATTGCTGTAAAGAGATAAGGCAGCAGGAAAATTCAAAAACTGTGAGGATCAATGTGCAGAAGAAAGTGTGGCAAGTCAAAGGGGCAACAGGTCAAATGTAGGGAAAAGAGAAAGATATAGAGAAAGCAAACACTAAAGAGGGAAAGCAAGAGAAACAGATAGCAATGAAGGATGGCAGGAAGTTGGAGTTGGGCTACTAACTATGATGGAAATGGAAAAGGAAGGATATGGTTAATATGGGATCCTAACATCATTCAATTTAGTGAAATATGGAAGAGCAATCAACTAATACATGGAAAGATGACTATTGGGGCAGGCAGTATACAGTTCTACTTTACAACAGTATATGGCTTACATACTATTGAAGATAGGAAAATCTTATGGCATGAACTAGAAGGGATTCATAATGGAACTGATGGGGCATGGATTGCAATGGGCGACTATAATGCAATATTGGGAGTTGAAGACAGGAAAAGTGACAACCCAGTGCAAGAAGTGGAAATAAGGGACTTTAGGGATTTCATGTTGAACAATAACATGAATGAACTAAAATATATAGGGAGGAAATACACATGGAAAAACAGCCATGTGTGGAGCAAAATAGATAGAGCCATAGTCAATACAGAATGGATGACTACAATAAAACTAATGGAAGTGATAGTGATGGATCCTTTCATATCTGATCATACTTATTCATTTTGATGAAACAAGGCGGGGGGGTTCAAAGCCATACAGATTCTATAATTATGTAGCTGAAAATCTAGAGTTCTTAAAAGTGGTGGGGAATGCATGGAGTACATCTAATAAGTGGCAAGGAATAGAGAAAGTGTGGCAGAAACTTAAACGGGTAAAGCATGAATTGAAGAAGTTGCATACTGAGGAGTTCAAAAGGGTCAGAGAGAAAGTCCAAACAATTAGAAGGCAACTACAAAAGACACAAGATAAAATGCAGGATCCAGATCACCAAACATTTCTGTTTGATACTGAGAAGGAGTTGAGAGGTAAATTAGAAAAATGGGGAGTGATAGAGGAAAGTATTATGAGGCAAAAATCAAGAACACAAAGGTTAAAGCTTGGGGATTCAAACAGTGCATACTTTTATGCATGTCTGAAGAATAGAACTTCTATGAATAGTATCAAATCTCTTGTGAATCAAGATGGCAAGCTGCTGCAAAATAAACAAGAGGTGAAGGAGGAAGTAGTGGGATTCTATAAAGAACTACTGGGGAATGCTGCTGAACAAATGCCTATGATTAATCCAGAAATAATGAGAAATGGTCCAATGCTGACAAAAGAACAACAATTGAAGCTAATAGAGCCAATCACCACAGAGGAGACTTGCATTGCAATGAAGAACATAGACGAAAACAAAGCCCCAGGATGTGATGGTTTCAATGCTTTCTTCTTTAATAAAGCATGGTCGATTATAGGGGAAGATGTGATTAATGCAACAAAATATTTCTTTGCCACTGAGGAGATATATAAGCCAATCAAATGCACTGCTATGACTCTGATCCCAATGGTTAAAAGTCCAAGTTCAATTAAAGAGTACATACCAATCTCTTGTTGTATTGTGTTGTATAAGGTAATATCAAAGGTGCTCACTACAAGGCTAATGGTTATGGATAGCCTTATTGATGTAAGTCAGACTGCCTTTGTGCCAGGAAGGATTATCTCTGATAACATTATACTAAGCCATGAATTAGTGAAGGGATATGGGAGGAAGGG